TTTGTCTGGGCCCTCCCCGCATAGATCGATGCCGCTCGCGCGGAGCTGACCCCGGCGGGCTCGCGAGCGAACCGCGCGATGTTAGCGAGACTCTACACGCCGCTCGGGCGCATATGGCGGGCGGGCTTATTGTCAACGCAGTAGATGGCGCACTCGATAGTGTGCGCTCTTGACTGCGGAGAGGCGTCGCTGCTTGTTTGCTCGGCTGCTCGTGTCTGCACAAAGCCTCCGGCGGTGCTCTGGTGTGACGGCGGGTGAGGGGAAGTGCGCGCGCGCGCGCGCGCGCGTGCGCTTTTGTCGGACGGGGGCCGCCCGGCTGTTTGTCTGCGTCCAAACACATCGATCTCCCGCAGAAGGGGAAATATTAGCGATCGCGCGGGCCAAACAAGAGGCGGCTCAATACACTTTGTCCCATCCGCAAAGACCGCCGCTCTTTGAATAGCAGAGGAGGCGAAAGCACTCGCATTCTGTCTTGAAGTCGCGGGACGGATACGAAGAAAGACTCCGCTAAACGTCGTCGTTTGACTCCGATACTCAAAGGCGGACTGATCAAAATGCTCAGAACCTGACCTTTGACCTCAGGCCGCTGAGGCGATTCGGAAGCGTCACGGAATGAGCGGCGTTTGCGCTTCTCGGGTCGTTTTGTCACCTTTTGGATTTTTCAATTGATTTTACATTCCCCAAAATATAACCGGAACCCGCGAACGGTGAGTGTTGCGGGAACAGTCGGTCGTGCTACCGACACGCTAGCCGTCGATATTGCTAGTTGAAGATGGATATGCCTTGTCTGTGAAGTGAGGTTGCATTCTAATCTGACTTGGAACACTACAAACTATCCAACAGAGGAAGTACAAATGGAAGAAAAAGAAAACACAATGGCTCGTGTTGGCTCAGGCTCTTTTTCTTTTTTTTTTTTTTTTCCTTCTTCTTCTTTTAACAATCAAAACCTGACGTTGCCCGAGCTTTGCGAACAACTGTTGACTGCCAAAATGCACCTTAGCTGTATGTTGTTGTTTTTTTTCCATATTAGATGGAGCATTTTCGAATGACAGAAGTTGGCCCCAAATTATTCGGAGGGGCCTTCTAGTCTGTTTCTCTATTTACGTCTCGTTCACGCCGCGTCATCATCCGCAGGCGTTAAAGACAAGTAACGGGCTTAATTTGACAAAGTACAGAGGACAAAGTACAGGAAAGAAAAGTCCGATTGTTGAACCATCTACTTCAGTGCAGTTATCAAGTATTCTCAGCAGTGACAAATTGCAGGTGCGTGCGTGCGTGCGTGCGTGCACGCGTGGACGCTAATTGTCATCAATGCAGACGAGCATCTCCTTTCAAAAGTGCACCATTGCCATTTTTTTTCTTTCCACTAAGAAAAGCAGACTTTGCACGTTTCTCTTTGAAAAGTGTCCTCCAGTGGCGCCGTGAATAGAATTGGAGGTGGATGCGCTGTCCTTACAAAGTCATGCATTTCACTTGTGAAATGTAACTTTTTCATGAAGGCCTTTCTTCGTTTGCTGATTATTAAAAAAATCATTAGCCAGGAAAAAAAAAGTTCCCCCAAATCTGGATTTGTTGTGTTTCCTTAGCAGGCTACTTGCGGGTTTGCGCAGGACGATGAAGAGACGAGTGTCGGCATCCTCCTCGCGGAGGCCGACTCGACGGTTCAGATGCCGCGCCCATCAATTCCCGCATCTCACCTGCACCTGTACACGGCCTCACTAAAAATGTCAACGTGTGTCAATGCTCCAGAGGTTTGTCGAAATATTTTCTTCTCGTGTCCGATGGGAAAATGACAACACGAAAGCCGCACCGCAAAAAACAAAATCGAACTGGGATTCCACATCACAAATCGGGTGCTCTTCTCTCTCTCTCTCTCTCTCTCTTTTTGTCGTTTGTCGCAGTTTCCTCATCTGTTGGTAGGATCGGTTTGGTCCAGTCCAGAAAAAGCACTCAATTAAAACGTTGTAAGATGGAACAAAAGGGCCTTCTGACCACCTCAAGTCGTCACGACAGTTCGGGCCTCCCGATTCATTCGCTGCGCGCGCCAACGGCGTGGCCGCCAGGGGGCGGTATATTGCAGTCGGTCATGCCGAAAACCAAACAACGAAGGAGAAGGAATATATGGCTGCGTTGCTGCAAGATTTGTCTTGAAGTCGGTGTTGCTCAAAGCCTGCGAACGATGCCACGTGGAAGCAACTTCCTTCAGCCCGTCCGTGGCGCGGTTCAGACCCTTTTTGGTCTTGCCCCCAAACTTTCCCGCGCGTGTGCGCCAGATGCAGACAAAATTTAGGAGCCTCACGTGCCCGCGCACATCGGCGCGTCCGCGAATATCGAGCGGCGGCGCGCACGCGGGGATCCGCCGGTCACGGCCAAATAGGACTTCATCTTTTCAATTTCGGGGTGCAAATATCCCCGGCGGCCCGTGTTTGTCGGCCGGATTAATGAGGCCCTCGGCCCATAATCCTCCGCCGCTAATTCAAGTGGCCGCCGTCGCCGCAACGCTGACAACACATGCGCGCCTCCGATTAGTACCGTATTGGCCCGAATATAAGACGGCCCCCTCTTTTTCAAGAAACAAATTTGAAAAAAGACTTTTTGAACATCAAATTCATTTTTAGACAGAAAATAATGCCAGTCCATCTGAAACAAATGATTAGAACAGTATATTTGAGAGAAAAAGCAGGTTCTTTTGCCTCATTCAAATCTTAAGATCCGAACATTTAAATATGTCAACTAAAGTGCAGTCGCCTTCGTAAACGAACGGCTTCTGCCATGCTTTTAGAAATGTAAACGACATCGTAACTTCTCCTCAAGTGCCGTTGATCCTGGCCGATCTTCACCCCGCAACCCAGATCCGTTTGTGTCATGTTTCGCTTTGTGACCACCAGGTGGCACTGTAGGGCTCTCCCTGCGGCTGCGCACCTGTTGGTCGTGATGTCGGTACCGCTCGAAAAGGACTCCCGGCGCGACCGCTCGGTGTCGGCTCATTGTTGGCTTCTGTCAGGTTTAGGTCATGTTTCTGTTGCTATTAGTTTGGAGCTTCTGCCGTGGTTTTTGTGTCAGCGGGATTTTTAGAGTGGGGGGAGGGGGGACGTGCCTACGCGATTGTGGGCGAGCGTTCGCTTTTCAAACTGCTAGCGAGCGAGATTTGAATCTGGCCTGGCTTCACTCGACTTCTCTCCGATGTTTTAGAGCGCGGCGCGCCCCCTTGCCTCACACCCCCGAAAAAGGAGTCAGCAGCCCTCCTTTCGCAAACATTCGAAGCCACGCGCCTCCCTTTGCCCCGCGCACACCTTCGCCGACGTCCAAAGAGCACCTCAAGGAATCGGCGCCTTCCCGGTCAGGCGAGCGCCGAACGCCCGGCCGATGGTGCCAAAGGTCCCCGTAAAGCGGCGCGCACGTGAGAAGCGACGCCGGAGCCGCCGCCTCGATTTGGCTGCTAACGAGAGAGCGAGGTGGCGCCCGCGGCCGCGCGCCGCCGCTCTCAGAGGGAAAAGGGGCGCGTGCGCAATCTGCGGCCCTCCTCGCATATTGATGTGTTTTTCGGCGAGGTCGGCCGCCTCCGGCGGGGATGGAGGAGGAGGAGGCGGGAAAGAGAGAGTCCCTCAGGCGTGTCCGGGTTCTGATGGCTCCCCTGACAAGCTCCGGTGTAATGGCCTCACCTCCCGCCCCCCATCGCGCAAGCCTCCCCCTCCTCCTCCCTCTCCGAGTGCTGTGAAATTGCCGGCCGGCGCTCTACAGCTGAGGACTCGCAGGAGACAAACGGCCTTTTAATTCAGAGCGCGGAGAGGTGACGGCGAGGGAGGCCCCGGGGGAGGGCTACCAATCAGACATCCATCACGCTAACCTCTCCCTTGGGAGCGGCCCTGCCAAAAGAGGTGCCCCCGAGGTGGTCGCCGGCGTGCACGAGCGACAGCCGTGCACGCCGGCGTCTTTGCGCTTGCGGCCAATGGCGGCGGTGGCTCGCTCGGGCGCAAATTTGGACAAAAGGCTCTTCGCTCTTCTTCAAAACCTCATCGCGTAGGAGGGCGGGGGCTTTCGACTCTCCGTTATTCATCGAAACAGTCACCTGTTTGTGATTTGGCAAAATGTGCCACCAACAAGTGCAACCTCAGAATATGAGAAGTATGACGTGAGCTGTCTTGGTCTTCGAGCGTCGACCGGTGTCGTAGAGCAGGGGTCCCCAACCGCCGGTCCGCGGACCGGTACCGAAACAAAACGCTGAAGCCCGCAAAATGAGTAAAAGAGCTGCTTGGAGATCGCAAATGACGGCCGCCTTAAAAGTATGTTCGAAACAACTGGATCAAAGTTATGGCTGAATACTCTGAGATCGCCACAATGGCACTGTTGCTATTTCCGACATCCTACCTGTGTGAAGTGGGGAGTTTCTGCAGCAACGGCGACTAAAACAAAATTACAAAGTAGACTGGACATAAACCACACACTTGAGGTGTCATTGTCTGCTATTACCCCGAGATGGGACTGTCTGATTGCAGAAAATCAAGCTCGGGGCTGTGGTGAGTCGTCATTTTCATGCACTTTGAATTTGCGTTGTATCGTATTTTGAAGGCATTAAACATTACCAGAGCGATAAGAGTGTTGCGACCAGATTAGACGCTCCTTGTGTTTATTATTATATTTCGAAAACACCACAGTTTTCATGCAGCTCATACCATATTATTTTGTTGTATTAATTCGCTACACCTTTTAAATGCCGGTCCCTGAAAATATTGTCTGACTTTAACCGGTCCGTGGGGCAAAAAAGGTTGGGGACCCCTGTCGTAGAGCACACCCAAAAACATCAAACTGGTTGTTGCTGTGAGATTTTTCCCATATAATGAGGTTGCCGTGACTCGGAATGGGTTTTTTTTTGTGCTTTTGTGTGTGTCAAAGGTGATGTGGGGCGTTGGTCCGCCCCCCCAAAGCTGGTCTCGGCTGTGGCACGCAAGCGCGGCGGGCAAAAGCAAAAGAAAGCAAAGCAAAGTGCAAAGCAAGCCCGCGCCACGCGTCTGCTCCGTCAACATTGAGATCGGCCTCTTGGACCGGCCGCCGGCCCCTCCCCTTTTATCGATGAAGCCGCTGACTAATCCGCGGCATTTCCCTGTAAATAGCGTTGTGCATGTGAAAAGGCCCCCCCCCGCCCCTCCTCGCCCCTCCCCGCCTCCCACGCGCAATGTCATGCGCCGGCTCTGGCATTCGTCCTTGTTTATTCGCGTGCGTCGTAGTGCAGGTGCCGCATTTGCCAGCCTTCTTCCGCCTCACCTCTCGACCTGCGACTTGTCAAAGTTTGCTCCTCGGTCACCGCGGCCGGCGTGTCCGATCGGATGCCTGGCCGAGGGCGGGACGACTGAATGCGCGTCGACCGCGGTGACTCGTGTGCGAGCCTGACATCTTTTCTATTTGTATTTGTTTCCATTTTTTTTTTGCAGCAGCCGACAGTAGCTCGCGTTGCGCATCCGTCACGACGGTACAACAACGCGTCAGTCATCCCATACGGTGAAAAAAAGGGACTTTCAAAGGATATCGGCCACTGCAGTGGATGACAAATTGTTTTCACTTGTCATTTTCCCGTACGGCACGACACCCCGCCGTCACCGATGTGCCGCTTACCTACCGGACTCGCATCGGTCACGACGGTGGGCGTCTATTTTGGCTGTCGAAAAACGCCCCTTTTGTTTGCGTATGGATGACACGCGAGTCGGCCGTTGTGACTAACGGCGGTCTTTGGTATCACGGTTGTAAATCGGTCACAGCGGCGGATGCAATTCAGTCATTGGCGGTCGGTTGTCGTAGGCGCAAAACGGCAACGACAAAAACATGTCGTCCGGCGTACGACGCCGTATGGGATGACGCGCTGGTTTTCCACCGAGGCGAGTTTTGCGTCATGTTTCGGTTTGTGACCACCAGGTGGCACTGTAGGGCCATCCCTGCAGCCGCACACCTCTTGGTCGTTAGGTCGTTGTTGCTTTAAAAGGACTCCCGGCACGACCGCCCGCTCGTTGTCGGGTCGTTGTTGCCTGTTTGCTTGCTTGCTTGCTGTCAGGTTTGTTTCGGTCTTGTTATGTTTTAGCTTCAGTCGTGATTTTTGCTTGATACTTTGGACTTTGTTTTGGATTTAGTTTTCTGTGTTTTCATACAGTTTGTCAAGTACGCCCTGCTCCTCCCTCCTGCCTGCTTTTTGGGGTCCACCACCACCACCACCTCGCAACGCGCATCGGTCGGGACCGTGGACGGACGTTTCCTCCGATCCGCCAACAGATTTGCCTTTCTGCGCTTACAAGGGCCAACCGGCGCGCGGCGGCGTATGCGACGGCGTCTCGGAAGCCGCCGGAGTCGCACGTGCGCATCAGTGACCGCAACGCTGCGGACTCCGTGTCATCCTACGCAGTGGCCCGAGGGACTCTTTGGTGCGCCCGCCGGGTAGGAAACGGACGGCTGCCATATTTGCGTCCGCCGGCTTTTGAGTCACATGTCAGTCGCTTTGCCTCTGAAACGTTACCGGGAGCAATTGTGACCTTTTCCTATCAAATTGACATATGAGGAGGGGAGCCAAATTTGGGGCCCGTCTCCGTTGGAGCCCTGTTGACGCGCAGGGCGGCCGGAGAAGCGGGGAGCTCGGTATCCGTGACGACCGAAGCCTCGCCGTGATTGGCTCTCGCCGCGAGGGAATTAAGGCGCGCGTCAGCCAATCTGCGCGCGCGGCGACGACGTCGAGACGGAGGGCTGCCTCGCTTGTCCACACCGCGCGATAAGCGGCCACGTTGACGCCAAGGAGCCCGTAGGACGCGCGCGGATCACCCCCCTCCCACCCCAAAAAAACAAAAACAAAACAGCCACCCTGCACGAGCGCTCGCATTTTTGCAGGATTCTCTTCATGTTCCGATTTTGAGCTCGTCGGCTGCGCGTGCCTGAAACAAGCATGTGCGGATCGTGGATATAGCGCCCGGAACCGAGCCGGTCCGGGACTTTTTCATTTTGAATGTAATTTTTGTATTTTTTGTGCCAGCCAGCCCACTTGGCGAGGGAGAGGCGGCGAGCGGAGCGGGGCGGGGGCGGGCGGGGT